GATGTGTTGTGATTCACCCTTAAGATAATAAATACTTATCAGCCCAAGTTCAAAACCAAACACTGATTGTTGCAGAGAAATCCTCTTTAAGCGCGCCATTCACAATCACAAAATACGGCGGCTCAAGCAATGCCCGCACTTGAAACGTAACATTGCCCAACTCTGCCTGGAACCCGTCCAACAATGTGAAATTTTTTACATCAGCGTCAGGGTCAAGCGTCCATAGAAACTGTGCAGTGGAACGCGTCCGTATGGACATGGACTCATTTGCATTTATGAGACGTCCATTCTCTCTGACGTTGCTTTTGCTTGAAGAAGAAGAGCCAACAAGCACGCCCGTGCTTGTCATGACGTACATGAACGAGTTGTTGGATTGCAGAAAATCTGTCAGGATATCGTGCATGTGCATGAATGAGATGTTGCTGCCGTACACTCCAGTCACGCGGCTTTGTGAGTCAAAGAAGGGAATGTTCTGATGAATATGAGAGGTGTTGTTTCGTTATTGTTTAGATCAAGAACTTGATCAAGGCAAAGCACTTAACCACTGAGATGCCTGAATGAAGCACCCGCAGTCAGTGAATAGTAAAAGGCCAGACGAATAAACGCACCTGCTGATGTACTAAGACACTTCGTTCACAAAAACATACGGCTCCGTGTATTGAATTCGCACAGTTTCGGAAGTCAATCTCGCCGCCTGGATATACCATGGTCGCTGCGTGCAATGTAAAGTCGAATTTGAAAACCCGAAACTTTCCGCTTCCCAACTTTTTTCATCCCAGTGTGCCCACACAGCCGCCATTCTTTCGCGGTCAACCCACTCGGTTTGCTCGTCAGTGAAATTCCGGCGAAACGCGTTGCAAATGACGCAGTCTGCATTTCTGTAGCTGACTGGCATTGACAGGTATATACTCCTGTCCCATGCGTTCAGTTGAATGAACGAGTCATCTTGTCGGCCGTAGTACAGGTTGAGCGGATACCCAGTGTACTTGACCTCGTTTGCAAAGGAATTAAGCAACGAGTCGAGGTTGGATTGGTTGCCATGGACAGAAATGGACTCGTAAACGTGAGTCGTTTGCTCGTTCACGGATTTGATGAAAGACCCTTTCGAAATAAAGAAATATGAGGTAGGTATAGATGGCACGGTAGCAGCTGTCCCCTACTTATCCGATCGAGTGCGAGCGATGCCTCGGCGCTCTGAACCTGAACCGCCAAGCTTTGGGCAACTCTTCTGCCAGTAGCCGTGCTTTGTTCGTTCGATGCTACCATCGCCGAGAATGATATGATGAGTGGAATAAGGAGGACTAGTGCGGCCTGTCATGAACAGCCATTTCAGTGTTGATCGTGATTCAAAAGCAGGTTGCAGTGCATCGAACCACAAATAACGTCTGCAAAGGACTGCAGCGAGAAGTGGAATTGCATAGGCTCGTGGTTTTGATCGCGCGCTAACTGTGTCGCTTGGGGAGCTGTGCTGCTCGCTGCTGGAAAGGGGATCTACTTCCTGCATCCTCGCAGGTGGGACGTTGCTGATAATAACGTAAATCCTGCAACAGTTTTTTATTCCATTGATCAGCTTCGCTTGATATGCAAGCTACCTGGCTGCCGACATATGTCAAGTTAAACGAAACATCTGGTCAACCGTTGCAATGATATGCACCGAATCGAGCATCACAAGTCACCCTTGTCCAAAGCACCTAAAACAAACGTTAATTTTGAAGATCACAGCCTTGCATATATCCAGCGTTCTCCGTCTCCGTCCTGCAGAACCGCTCTCTGGGACGCGGCACTTGTTCAGACTCAGCCGTGAATCTCGACGTAAAAGCCGGGCTTACATGTGCTTTCTTTATGCTTTAATTTATAAGCTTGCTCGAACTGTTGAACAGAGCGCGTGTGCTCGGGTTCCTGGACGCAAAAAGCGTGTCGCACGTATCGTAAACGTGCCGCCTCCTCTTTTCGATCGGAACACAAGACTTGCTGTGGCAGAACTTGTGCAAACAAAGATGGGCCGATAAAATGCGCGCGCCGTTGGAGTTGCATCCGTTTGTGGACTACACACGTCTGCTCGCAAAGTTGGACCGGCAGGAGATGGTCGATATTCTCCAGCGACGATTTGATAACGCTTTTCAGCCCTCTTTGCTTTAACCTGCCCCGCCGAGTATGGATGAAGAAGGGGACGTGGCGATGGCGGAGCGCGTTTTGAAGTCAACACCTGTGGGTGTTGCGGATGTGATTAGTCACCAAGCTGAAAATGCATCATGCCGTCGAGACAAGTTGCACATGCTCCGGCTGTGCGGTACATACAATCCATTCGATCGATATGACAAAGATTGATGAGCTTGTATTCGCAAGCACTCACACACCACGCTGAAATAATGCAAACAAAACGACCTCTCCCAAATAACCTCAAAGGGATTTATAAGTCACGTATGAGTTTGAAAACTCCCATCCCCAGTTTGCGACGCGTCTTGGTTTAGAATGTGTGGGATACTGCCCGACTTGGATGGCGCCTGATGCGGTAAAGCTGTACGGCATGGGTCTTGGGCGGCGGGCAGTGTCGTCTTCAATTGCGTTGGCTCTGGATTGAAGAGGCTATTTAGTACGAGATAGATGGAATATATGCAAGATGGTAATACCTTGTGCCGTTGGGAAAGAATCTGACTTTGAGGCAATTTCCTGTGTTTGTTGGTCGTTGAGTTCAAATGATTTGAAATCAAAACAAGCACCCACCCAAATCATCGCCAGCTCCGAAATAACCCCAGCTTTCTTGATAGCTCCAAACATACGCATTCAACTCGTTCATTGTAATGCGCGTGCGATGCTGGTCTAATTCAGCTGCAATGTACGAAGCCTGAAAACAAAAAGATTCGATGCAGAGTCAGAATGCGGCTTGTTTCCCTCCAGTGAACTCAGACCTGCCACTTTCCGCAAAGTTTGGGCTCAAACAGAGCCACACCTGCAACACCGACAGGTGTAGACTGCAAAACGCGCTCCGCCATCACGTCCCCTTCTTCATCCATACTCGGCGGGGCAGGTTGAAGCAAAGAGGGCTGAAAAGCGTTATCAAATCGTCGCTGGAGAATATCGACCATCTCCTGCCGGTCCAACTTTGCAAGTAGATGTTTATAGTCAACAAACGGATGGAGCTTCAACGGCGCGTGCATTTTATCGGCCCATCTTTGTTTGCACAGGTTCTTCCACAGCAAGTCTTGTGTTCCGATCGAAAAGAGGAGGCGGCACGTTTGTGATGCGAGCGACACGCTTTTTGCGTCCAAGAGTCCGAGCACACGCATTCTGTTTAAGTCGTCAACGCGGCCAGATGAACCATAAAGTTTAAACAATAGGAATGTACATGAGCTCCACCGGCTGCGCAATGAACGCAGTTTTAGCGTCCAGATTCACGGCAGAGTCCGAGCAAGAACCGCGTTCTAGCGAGCGTTTCTGCTGGACAGAGACCGGGAAAGCATCCGTGTGCGTTGTCGAATGTATCATCCAAGGCAGGAGTGGTTTTCAAATTATTGTGTGTTTTTAGGAAGGCTTGAAAATAAAAAACTTTGTCATATCGATCGATCGATGGATCGGATGGAGCGCTCAGCCATATCAGGTGCAGTTCGTCTGCTCCTTCTCTCTTTCAGCCGATGAATCGCTCACACGCCGTCTTGAATCCGTCGCAACAGCGAAGAGACACTCTCCCACAAACAGGAAACCAACCAAGAAGCGTATCCAGATTCGTAAGACATCATTACTTCTTACAGCAACTGCCTCCCACTCATATTTACTCGATTCGCAGGAAGGGGCAAGCGTGCATCGTCAGAATCTGAATCGAGTTCAGGTTTGATATCCTTCCCGTCAAATGACCCAGCTTCTAATCAATGCATTCCAAAGATGAAATGCCTCAAGACTTTTTATCAACGCAGCCTCCTGAGCTCATGTTTGCCCGCGTCTTAAATCATCGTGATGTCCATATCTAAAAAACCACTTGACCCGGCAACAGCGGCAGAGTGCTCAACTATCTAGACGCCCTAGATCTCTCAACAGTGTCTTTAGCCTCAAAGTATCTGTTCCAACTTGCTACGCAGGATTTGCTATGGAAGCAGCTATGGTCTGTTTTTACTGTGCCTTCTGACATTGCTTTAACTGATTTCCTTTTGCTTCATTCTCAGCGAAACACGCTGGTCAGACAAGAAGCATCAGTCCCTGTCTCTCCATCCACTCGTAGACTACACTGGACTTGTTGCGCAGCTGAAGCGCAGTGAGTTGTTGGAAATCTTGCATCGCCGGTTTCTCGCGACGGATGATTCAATGTCCGATCAAGAACTCTCAACGCGTGTTATTAACACGACACCGACTGGGTTTCGCGATGTTACAGTATATGCTCCTTTGGTTTGCGGGAAGTGGCAGGTTGGGCGAAAATGAACGATTGACTTTCACATTCGGTTCAATTTTAATGCTTTATTCTTATGGTAGGCGTCTTATATTGCCGCGGAGTTGGATAAGGATCGAGAGCGTATTACAATGAAAGAGTTGCAGGCTTACGAGTGGGTGTTTCGAGGTAACTGTCAAGAATGCGTATTTTTGAAGGTGAATAACATTTGATTGAGCAGAGCAATGGGCGTACGATGATGACGATGATGAAGGTAATTACGCGCTACAACGCACTCGATACATGATACACTGAAAACGAACTCAGATGACGCTATCAAAGTCAAATTTCGTGATGACGGTGTCAGGTAATCCCTCTCGTGCAATGCCTAATCCCATCACGTGAGCTGACATCACGCGTCTTTTTCGAACACCTAGGCTGAATGCATCGGACGTGCAGTCACGGCCAAGACCGCAGACGTACCAGCTTCTTGGCAGCGGCAAAATTCAAGTCGGCAATTTCCCGAGGCATTCTCGACCCACGCGTCTTGACGACTGGGGTTGGCAGTTTTCCAACGTATATGTGACGTACACGTCTGTGTGACGGGATACTTTTGAACAACATGTGCCAAAAATAAAAAACATTCGAGCATCGGGATTCGAACCCAAGTCCTCACCTTGGGAAGGTGAGATGCTAACCACTACACCATGCTCGTCACCTTAAGAAAATCCCCAGATGCCATATAATCTTCAAAGCAAGAGTCGTCAGAATTGGCTGGCAGAGTCAAAATCCAAGGTATCATTTGGCGTTACTTTCTCATATAAAGTATTATCATCCAAAAAGTCCAAGTTCTGATCCAAGACACATTGTCAATGACGCAAGGGCACGTTAACAACGAGCGTTTTGAGTTCAACTTTATTTTCCAAACAGCAAAGCCGGCCCAAAGAATGGCCGACGGCAACGACCAAACATTCCGCATGCCATCGTACCTTACTGCGGTTGTGAATGCGCAGCCGGCAGTCGTTCGCCGGGAGGGAGGTCCTTCCGTCCAAGTGCCAAGTTCCCCACCCTCCTACAGATACGCCTACCCCCAGGCACCCTCCTCTCCACCCACTTACCATCCCACCGTGCCTCCAACGCCACACACCAACAATCCTACAGCAGATCAGGATCTGCATGACGACATTATGGACTTTTACGCATCCACCTCACCAAACAATACGCAGCAGCAGTTGCGACAAGAACCAACAAGCCATACACCGAAACAGCAGCGGTTCAGTTCACAGTCAGTCGCAAATTCGCCGTCGAGTGGATCAGCCGTGTTTCCACGGACAACTCTGGGCGGCAACAAGTCGCTCGCTGCGTCCATCCAGCGGGGCCAGTCGCCTTCCATCTCTCACTTCTCTCACTTTTCGCGTCCGTATCAGTCAGGCAGTCAGTGGGGCGCAAATATTACAGACTTGGATTCGGACTCGGACTCGGATTCGAACAGCGCAATTGACGAAGGGGCAGATGAGGAAAACGAAAGCGATGAAAGCCGGGATTTTGATTTTAATGAGCGCCAGCGAAATGTTACTTTGGAAATGGGGGAGCGGGAAGTCAAAGTCGAGGGAGTTGCTGCCAAAAAGGCGCCGCGAGTATCTTCTCGCGTCATGAAATCCGTGATTGCACCTGCGCCGATATCAATTGCCAACGATTCAGAGTCTGATGACGATGAAGCACCGCTCGGAGTCATGGCAGCCCAGTTTAAGCAGCAGCAGTTACAGTCAGCGTCGAGGATAACCTCGCCGTTGCGATCATTATCATTGGATCCTGCAACCACTGCGCTGTCACCAGCTCGACCAAATGACGCATCTGCTACAATTTCAAATCTTTTGAATTCACTTTCCACCGATGGGAAATTGCCCACGAATGGCACTGATTTGGAGAATTTAGAAGGTCTTGTGGGCGCGTTGAACACGCTTTTAACCAGAAAACGAATGGACGAACAACAGCAACAGCAACAGGACAATTCGGACGAATCAAGCTCTCTGAAAAATGCAAACAACCGCTCTATAAAGATTCGGTCCTTGCCAGTCCCTTCTCCAAACCGGCCAACCGACGACAGCGAGGATGATGACTTACCTTTGGCGCAAATTCACAAGGCGTCACCACTGGATGATGGTGGGCCACCGAAACCGGTCAATCGTGTACCTGTTAATCCTGGCAGTGCGATGGTGTGTTGGTTGTTGTGATGTTCTCTGCATTGGCTAATGAATTTTGCAATGTATCAAGTCTCGCGGCGCGACAAACAAATCGATGAATCCTTCGCTGAAACCAAAGGAACCAGCGTCAATCATGCAATCATTCCATCAGCCACCTCATCCGCAGCAAAATCGCATTTCAAGCAGCACGACCACAGCATCAGCGCAAGTGTCACCAACCGTCCCGATTCCTTCCAAAGTAGCAACAACGCCAAATGAGCCCTTAAAATCCACAGCGGAGCCCATTCCAACCAAAAAAATCACGATTCGAATCCATTTGGAACTTCATACTGTTCCATCGGCCTCGCAAGCAACTCTACCAAGTTATAAAACAGTGATTTTGACGGATTTATTAACTTCAGACATGATTGTGGATCAACTGCTGTCGCTTCTTGAGCAAGGAAATTATGGCTTTGTTGACGATGGCACGTGGACACTTTTCGAGGTGTGCAATGACTTTGGGCTAGAGCGGCCTTTGCGAGACTGGGAGATTGTGACGGATGTGGTGGGTGCATGGCTTGAAGGTGGGGATGGGATCACTCCGTATAAAGGATCCAATGATGCAAGCGGCTTGTCTGGAAACAAATTATGGCTCAAGAGCTACGGATTCAGGAACACGCTTGTTCCCAGGGTGAGATTATTTGAAATGCTTTTGATGAATTTAACGCTCACTTTCCATTGCAATCAGTGCATTATTGGGAAATGGCCGCGAGTAGAGGGACGCTTTGACATGGAAATTAAACCGGGAAAATGGAAGCGGAGATATTTTATTCTGCGAGAAGATTGCGTGTATTGGAAGGACCGCGAAAGTGATGTGAGTCCAACCCGCGTCCTTCACATTTGCTGATTCCACTGAATTGTTTTGTTTTGTGTGCAAAGACCCGCGATACACTGCTGTGTCGTCTCAATAGTTACGATGTTTACACGCTTCTTCAAGCGCGAAAGAAAGCGCCATCGCGATATTGCTTTGCACTGCGATCGACTGCAAGCATGACCATTTTTGAAAAGGCCGATGAATACGCACACTTTTTCTGCGTTGATACTCAGGATCAATTGGCTGATTGGGTTTTAGGCATTCGCCTCGCCAAGGTAAAATATTCCTGCAATGAACACGGCTGATATTGATTCGATGTTTGTGACAGAATGAATGCATGTTTGCCGAATACCCTGATTTGTTTGCAGACTACGACGAAATCCCCGCGCGCAAACATCCACCTTTAAAACCTGCAGTTGTCAGTGCCGCTATCACAACCAGCGTTCAGCAGCAACAGCAGGCGTTGACATCCGCAACGGGGCGAATAGCTGACGCGGTCGTGGTTGCCGCTATAGAGAATGAACCCGTTCTTCCACCCACGTCGCTTTTAGCGCAGTCTCTTGCGAAAAAGAAGGAAGCCAATACTTTGGTAAATCCTGTCATTGCAGCGGCTCAGCAAGCTGCTTTGACGGGAAAGCCGCTCTTGTCATTTGGAATGAGTCCGTTTGAACAAATGCAGCAGAATGATGGAACCACCCTTGTATCGAGGTCAAAATCGAAACGAGCAAGCGGCGGCAATAATGCAAATGTACCTACCCCTGCTCTCGCGAACAATACTTTAAAGCGAGGAATCGTGGGCGAATATTTCAATCAACTCGCATATCATCAACAGCAGCATCATCATCATCACCAGCAACAAACCGGAACAATAGCTGTTGAGCCAGCAACGTTACTTCTGGACCAAATCACCGAAGCAGCCGAAATGCCCCGGTATCCAATGCAGCCTATGGAAGCGTCATATGACGACGCATCTTTACGCGATCTTCAAATAAGACTCGATCGCGCGTGGGAGTTGGAACAGCAACAAGCTCTCGCGCTTGTGGAAGCTGCGAAAAGTGGAACCACGGGAGGAGGCCCAAGTGGTGCAAGCGGAATGGGACGACGAAGCAGCACAGGCGATAGTGAGCAAGCACCACTTGGAAGACGGTTGGAGCAGCACAAGCAGCAACAGCAGCAACAACAGCAAAAGGATCAGAAGCAACCCACAACGGTTCCTGCACCACAACAGCAACAACCGAAACAGCCACTCATTAATTTGGGATTGCAGCGGAGTAAAAGTGTCGGCGGTTTGAAACAGAAGCAGTCTGCAGACACGCAACCTCCTGGAGCAGCCACGCTGGGAAGAAGCAGCGCATCGAAACCGTTGATTGACATGACCGACGCCAAAAACTGCAATATTTGCGGATGTAGCGAATTCAAAACAGTGTACAGCAGTGCAGGGACTATGCTGAATCGAGATGGGAAAAGAGTGTGTGGTAACTGCCGGCATGCGCATAAATGACTTGCATAATTTTTTGATTGTTTTTACCAGGATTTTTCATCACATTTTATTGTTATATTTTTGGGTATTCCATTCCATTAAAGATCCAGTCGCATATCTTGGTCAATAGTCCTTTTTTTTTAATTATTTTCCATCATTGCTCCCCCATTTGGGCATCTCCCAAATTGTTCATGGTTCCAGTCGCACTTGTTGGAAAATGATTCGCGGTATTCCCCATCGGATCAGCCATTGCATGGCTTGGTGCGCCATCACCTCCGTACAACGGCGATTGCATCATCATTCCGGGGTGAACTGGCAATCCACGAGCCATCGCCGCCGTGGCAAGCTGAAGTTGCTGTTGATGTTGACGCTGTAACTGAATTTGTTGCTGTTGCATAAGTGCAAGCATTTGCTGTTGAGTGATCATTGCTGGCAGACCAGGAATAGGTGCTTCGGCTGGACGTTGTGGCAGCTGCGTAGCGGCTGATTGCGGTTTTGGAGGAAGGCTGTGATGCATCGGTGCGGATGGTGCTTGTTTTTGGAATGAATTCGATGGCGCTGAAATTGGTCGACGGTAATTTTCATATCCGTTTTGGTTCGGGGGAGTCTCGTGATTGCGATCACTGCTGTTTCTTCGGATATTTTGACCACGATTTTCGAAGCCGCCTCTATTGCCCCGAGACGGCAACTCGTGTGCATATTGTCTGGGACCACTGTCATGGAAACCGCCTCTTCCACCACCACCACGGGAAAATGCATCACCCCTGCCACGACCACCACCAGCACCGCGGCCAACACGGTTTCCTCGATCACTTCCTCGAGTGATGCGATCATTTCTGGAAGGACCATTATTTCGTCGCTGATTTAGGAAACTTTCAGCGTCATCCACTACTTGACCATCTTCTTCGTCATCTGCGTCATTGTGCTTTGCGTTTCTTTTTCTTTCCAGCTTGCGTTGAGCGCGAAATTCTTGTTCTTGTTCGTCATCAGAGAATTCACGTTCCTAATGTGAGTCCGAGGTGTTAGAAACGCACATGCACATTATACAACTCGACATACATGATCCGCCACTTCCTCATCATAAAAATTTGAAGCATCCGATCCTTTCATGGCCTTCAACTGCGCAGCAAACACAAACTTGGCCATCTCAGACACGTAAAACACCTTATCGCCCACTT